CCTGTTATTTGTAAAAGTGTGATTTCCAAAGTAGACAAATTCTTAATTTAAAAAGCCATACAAATTGACTTCATTTATGGAGGGTGATTTTTCAAAAGCCTTCAGAAAACAGAGATCCTAGTTTATTGTGAATGTATATTTCTATAAATTCCTCTTATCAGATTTTTGACCCATCTCTGCTTTCATGAGATCTTTGCAAATTTGCATGTGGGCCCATAGAGATCCCGTTTATCTACAGGAGTGCAGATGGTTTTCTGTAGGAAGAAACTGGATCCTCAAACATTCTCCAAGAAGCAGAAAGCAAGAGGCAGCAGTAGGCCCAATCTTCATCTTTGTAAATAAAGAGCCATGAGGTGTTTAAAACCTTGTCAAAGGAAGTAGATCTGTAAAAGTTTCAGAGTCTATGTTCTTGTACACTATAGCTAACTGGGCTGAAGTCAATGAATCACTGAAGCCTCCCTTTCCATGATGGATACACAGACACAGCGTGAGTTTCTTAGCAACAGTGCCTGGATAACCCATTTTCAGAGTCACTTTCTGTTTCACACATCAACCATGGTTTTCCCTAACAATTGCTGTACCTCCTGGCTATCTTTTTCTGTGCACTGATTTGGGAAACAATAATCAACAATCTTGAAGTTTAGCAAGGTTTGTAGCCTTGTGCCAGTTGGTTCTGAGATAAGGCTTCGTTTTTCTTCTTTGTAGTAGGATGAGGATGGATTGATGGGATTCAAATCTCTTCTGGCTTCAACATTTAAATGTTTTAAAACTGGTCCCTAGGGAAGAATAAATGTCATCACTGTAACTCATTGAGCACAATGTATGGGGTCAATGCACATGGAATTCTTTGATCTATTAGTGACTTGAGGTTTCTTATATTTCTATGGTATATGGATCCTATGCCTCTCTTCTGTGTATGTAGCAGGTGTCAGTGAGCACCTGGGCTAGTCAACAGAATACAAGAACCAGCAATCTAATGTGTTGTACAAGTAGGGAGCAATAAAAAATATAGGAGACTATAGAAGTACATGGATTCCAATCTGGACAAGACAAAATAAGCTGAGTGATGAAGGGATATATTCCAAGCAAAGAAAGGGCCTTACATATAGGTAATTGAGGCAGATCTTATATCTATTGTTTACTGAATATGAGTGTGCTTTTCATCCCACTCAGATATGTCAACCCACTCAGCTAACCCACTATATCTATTCTCTGAGGGGGATGGTGTTTTACTTGAAATAATAGCCCCACGTATTTGAGAGAACTCAGTAAGATAACCAATTAGACAATATTATCTGGACCATAAAGAAGTTTGAAATGCATTTCTGTTTCTGTACACTACTTTCTCTTGATAACAAGCAGAAAACAGAGTAACCGTAGAGTAAGTGTTGAAGCCCTTAACTGACCTTCCTATTTGCAAGGCTAAAACTAATAGGGAACACTGCACGCAATTATTTCCCTCTGTACTACAGGTCCACAGAGTTCTATATTCCATGCAATCACACTGTCCCACAAAAAAGATACTTCTTGGTTACCTGATGGCTGCATTAGAGAAGACAACAGAACTAAAATTATCATGATGGATTCACAGAATATCTTAACCTAGAATTGGAATTAGGAGACTGCATTAGCTACTTGTTTGTGTAACAAAAACCATTAAAGAAAGGAAGGGTTGATTTTGGTTTACAGCTTCAGTTCATCACGGTGGGGAGAGCATGAGGGCAGGAACTAGAAGCCTGGCTGATCACATTTTATCTGCTGCCAGGGAGCATAGGGTTAACTGGAAGTAGGGCAGAGCTAGAAGCCCTCAAGGCCTTCCTACAATGACCCAGCACCCCCAGTGAAGCACTGCCTTCCCAAGGTTCCAAAACTTTTCCTAGCAGCACGAACAGTTGGAGATCAAGTGTCCAAACACATGAGACTACAGTGGGTGTTGCATCTTCAATCCACACAGGAATTAAGTTTAAAGTTTGTTTTCGGCATCTAATTGGCTCCATCAACTCTTCAGAGGTATGATCTCTGTGTCTCTGAGCCCCAGTTACTTCCTTCCAGTTTCATAAGGTTGTTGTAAAGTCTAGAAAAAAATGAGATAACGGACATATAATCATTCCAGCTGCTAAATTCCTTTACATGCATTAATTGTATGAATAATCAGTATTGACATTAGTTACAAAATATATTAATAATCTGTATTTAACAAAAGCACAAAATAAATGTATCAGACAGATTTTTTTTTTTTT